CACCACCACCACCACCACTACTACTTGTGTAGTATACTTTCAATTTGTGGGTCCAGCTATCTACGATAGCTTAATATATGACTCTTTGGGACGACTGCTAGCTGACATCTATCATTACTCGTATGCGGTAGTGGTAGTGGTAGGGGAAGGGGCAATAGTAGAGATCGTGGTGCTGCTAGTGGTATACGTGTAGGTAGCAGATGCGGTGGTGGAAGTGGGGGTGGTTGTGGATGTGGTAGTGGTAGTAGTCGTCGTATCTAGTTGTAGAAGCTAGTTCTTATAAGTACTACTGGTACTACGGCGACGACGACTACTATACTACTACTGCTTCAGGTGTTGCTGATGGCGGTGATGCTGTTACTACATGTTCCCAGCAGCTGCCCTGCTGCGACTGCAGCTGCAACTAGTGTTCACTATTTAAATCGAGAGCCTTCAGGAGTTCCTTCAGGAGTTCAGGCGGATTTTCAACGGGTGGAAGGTTTTAAACCTTTGGGATTCGCGGCTAGGGCTTTCGGGTCTAACTCTTTCGAGAGCCAAGCATCTAGTGCTCGACGTGTAACAAGATGCTCGTACTTGGGTTCAGGGTTTCAAGCTATGGTACCAAAGGGGTGTTCAGTGGCTTCCTAAGTTTAGGCGTGCGGGATGGTAGGCTAAAGAAAGCCTAATGGGTGCATCTGAAACATATCATCCACTGGAGCACACGAAGCCTGCTGCAGAAATATTCCGACTCGCAGGTAAGCCTGCGAAGCTAGATCGCCCCGATCAAAAGCAGGCACACACTCTATACCCAGCTAACCGCACCAGCTAGGTATTGAAGATTCGCCTGCAGACCGGTAGCATAAGTGAGCTAATCATCTGAATGGTCCACGAGGCAGTTGCCCTGGATCCCACCGAGCCAACCAGCTGCTCGCTTCGCGGCGTCCCACCTGGGCGAGGCGATGCTTGGCCGAAAGCTAAGATATAAATTTGAATAATCGTGGGGCCAAGACCCCTCTTCGAGGCTTTCGAACTTGGACCAGTTCATGTCTGCACCGAACTTTTTGTTCACCTAAGGTGTGGCTGCATCAAAACAAGTCCTAGCATGTAGAAGTACGACTATACACACCTAGCCTCCTCTTATAATGCAATAGCTTAGGGTTTAGGGTGTAGGGTTTAGGGGTTTCGGGTTTAGGGTTTAGGGTTTAGGGGTTGTCCATGCAAACACACAGATGTGCCACGGGTGCACGGGTCCATGTGCTGATCATGATACGGCATGCCCTAACTTGTTTTTTTGCTACAGTTCAGGGGCATAAATAGAGGGCTAGACAACACGGACAGTGGCAAAGCTGCTAGGGCTAAGGTGGTCAGCGGTCATGCTGGATTTGCACAATGTCAATCAAAGCCGAGTTACACAGACAAGATCCTCCGGCATACCATCCCAACTTGTGACAAGCACCCGCTTCACATAAAACTTGTTGCAGTACAAGTTCACTTCGATGCCCTTGACCTCTGACTGGTGCTCAGGCGGAAGCTTCGCCTTCTCGTCGGCCGAGATGTACTTGGTGTAGCTCCTTAGCCGGGTGAAAGGTTTAAGGTTTTATATTTAGGGCCGGGTTTATTTTTTGGTACTTTCCCTCTATATATATACATATATATATATATATATTCATCATTTTTCATGTTCGATATCGCCATGACCACATCATCCTATTCATACGAGAGTCTTTTGCAGGAAGTCCTTCGCGTGAAAGCCCACATGTAGTGCAGAAGCCGGGGTTGCAATAGGAAGCTCTTTCATGATGCGTAGCAAATTGCTTTCTACCCTGGGTCGGTCCGGCTCTGGGTCCTTGGAATCCTTGGTCGCTACAGCCTGGCCCGACTTGGTGGATTTCTTCGGCTCTGGGATCTGCTTTGGCTCGGCGGATTTCTTCGGCTTTAGGGTCTGCTTTGGCTTGGATTTCTTCGGCTTTGGGGACTGCGGCTCGGCGGATTTCTTCGGCTTCGGGGACTGCTTTGGCTTGGCGGATTTCTTCTCTGGGGACTGCGGCTCGGCGGATTTCTTCTTCGGGGACTGCTTTGGCTTGGCGGATTTCTTCTTGGGGGACTGCTTTGGCTTGGCGGATTTCTCCGGCTTCGGGGACTGCGGCTTGGCGGATTCCTCTGCTTCCTGGTCTTCCTGCAGCTGCTCTGCCGCCTCTGCCGCCTTGATCCTCTTGCTGGGCGGCGAGTCAAGAGCTGCAGCTCTCTTGCCACGACCCCGACCACGGCCCCGCCCGTTGCCTCTGCCCGGGCCCGTTTTGGACCCTGCTTGATCCTCCTTTTCTGCTAGCTTCTTTTCTGCCTCGATGCAAGATGAATCTTGCAGATGAAAACCACATGATGAAAACCACATGATGAAGACCACATGCCTCTACCATGATCAGTCTCTACATCTATTTCGCATGCCTTCTGTGCTTTCTTCTCTGCTTCTCTACGTCGATGCTCAGCACGTGCCCGGGCTTGCAGTTCTCGCACCGAGTTGAAATCTTCAGCTTCATCTTCATGATCATGGCCCAAGTCCCTTGGAGCTGGTAGCTCCGTGTAGCAACCAACCGGCACGAGTGGCCCCTTTCGGTCCTGCACCAAAAGCCAACAATAAAGTCTACATCAACCTATTGGCCACGGGGTACCATCGTATGATCTGCAGACCCTTGAGCTCAATACGAAGAGTCGCACTATCCTTGAAAGCTCCATTGGAGGTAGGATGATCCTGAATATGAGCTCGATGCAAACACATCTCCGAACTGAGTTCTCCAAGGCTGATGCAGCCTAGCAGCTGGCTTCTCCGGCGGAAGTGGCACAGGCGACAACTCAAGCAGCTCCTGGGAAGGGTTTCGGGCTGCGTATTTAAGAGGGGTCTTCTGTGTTATAGATAGAGGCATTCTAGCGGCTACCATAAGCTGGCAAACGGACCTGTAAGCAGTATGAATCCGAATCAGCACATCTCAGTGTGATGAAGCTTAAGCTTGAGTCCTGCTCCTTGCTGATGTCTGCAAGGCTGCTCTCCACCTCCCGCACAAAAAGAGCAGCATACTCCTATAATTGATGCATATATCATGATATATACAAAGATGCTACATTCATGAGCTGTACATGTATGTATGTGTGTGTGTGTGTTTGTGTGTGTGTGTGCGTGTGCATGTGGTTGTATAAATAAATATTAACATACATACATGTACATGCAACACATACGAACACTACATGGGTGCATGCATTCTTCGGGGCTCCACATGCATGTATAGTTGGCATGAGTGGATAATTCCAGATGTAGGCATGTACACAGCTCGTCCGCCTCGCCGTGGCAAATTTGCTCGGCAGCATCTGCATCACCCTGCCGGAGTAATTTCGATCCGAAACTTGACACATAGGAGTCCCAGGGGTCCATAAATGCATCACGTGAGCCTGGTCGCAAGTCTCAGCATCCAATTCGGCAGCGATGACAGCAGCAGCCTACCGACAAACCACTAACCCTAGGGAAACCTAGGGAAATATGAGGATTTCACGAAATCTCAATCTGTGCCTTGTTCTCACTCCCATCATCACAGGGCACCTGAACCAGCAAGCAAATAAGCCCAAACAGATTGACGACAAACAAGCTGAGCCTCTGCTGCTGTGGCAGGTGGGTCCACCTGTCGGCGGGCGAGCTCGGAGTTTTCACAAAGCCCAAAGAAGCCTAAAGCCCGAGAGCCCTAAATCGGTTGCAACATTTACCACAACCCCATTGCTAGCTGAATACCCGGAGCCTCCGACCTGTCTTAAAAAATCAGGTTAAATTTCAATGATCATGGTACGATGAGTACGATAGAGCTCAGGGTGCCCTAAGCCACCGGCGCTTTTTACATTCCAACACCCTTGCTGGAAACCCAACCTGGAGTATACAAAAATCAAGATGGATTTTCAGGGTACCTTAAAATTATAGTGACCCCTATAGCTAAACCTGAAGCCAGCAAACTCGCGGCCTTTGAATCGGCATCGGGATCAGCGGGCGACGGAGCAACCTGCGTGAGAAAGTGTGTTGTGTATGGAGATGGGTGTGGGTGGGAAGATTTGGGACTGTCGGTTTTGGATGGTTTGGGTTCATAGAAGGCTTTGGGTTAGTGACCCCTATAGCTAATACCTGAAGCCAGCAAACTCGCGGCCTTTGAATCGGCAGCGGGATCTGCGGGCGACGGAGCAACCTGCGTGAGAAAGTGTGTTGTTTATGGAGATGGGTGTGGGTCGGAAGATTTGGGACTCTCGGTTTTGGATGGTTTGGGTTCACAGAATCCAGAAGGCTTTAGGTCTTGCCGGGCCTAAGTGATCGGGAGGAGCGATGAATTAAAGTTCGATTCGGGAGTTATGCACCTCGGGAAGATCAAGAATCGCCGGAGCCGCAGGAATCTCCTGCCAGGATGTCGACATGAAACCAGCTAGACACAGACACATGTAGCACCACATACAAAGCTCACTACAGCCGTCCTGTTCCATATCATCATCATCATCAGCAGCAGCCAACAGATCAATCACCGGGACCGGGGCGTCCTAACCAGGTTTGTTCCCTATAGGCAAGCCTACCCCTTTCTGCAAAGCACTGGCCTCGACAGCTTCATTACCATCATCTTGCTCTTCTCCGTCCGAATCTTCCTCGTTTATTGATTTTAAGGTGGCTTGAATAGTCAAGCCACCCACGAACACTCCAGATCACAATCACAACACAACATATTAATTTAACTTACAGCCAACGGTCGATGAAGATCTCGTCGTCCTCATCGTCAGTCTGGTCCTCTGGCTCCGGTGGCAACTCACCAGAGGCCTCCTGTTCACTGTTAACATCGGATGCTACTAATCTTATCGGATGCTACTCATATCGAACCTATATGCACTTCAATCTTGGTAGCTCAACACTGAGCAGAGGACTGATGCCCCTGCAATTGGGAAAGGCAGGTTGTTCACGTGATAGTACAGCTTCTTGAGCACAGCCGATTCCTTCGTCCTGTCCCGAATGTCATCGATCAAAGCTTTAAGAAAAGGAATCGCTACATTTTTCTAGCTATGCAACAAGAGCCTTCCGAAAGGAGTTCGTCCGACGATTTTCTTCACATACCGTCCAAGGTTCTGTAGACGTCCACCATGTAGGAGTGCCCACTCCTTCAATACTACTGGCATGGTTGCAGCATATGTACGAACCACAGTCGCCGAAGACTGCATATGTGTGTTGCTTGTCTGCTGGCCTTCAGCTTCCCCTTGTTGCCTCGGCCCCGGCAAAACATCTCCGACCAGAAGCCATAGTTGAAGCCAAGAAAGAGGGCGGCAGCCTTATGCGTTTATCAAATGTTTAGACATATGGCTCTCTAGATCTGCACGTCAATATTAGCTGTCAGGCAACATAGTGTTCTTTCGCATGCGGCAAATCTCTGCCTTGCCGCATAACTCCCACAACATAAGCCTTCATGAACTCGAAATTTTCGACCACATCGGCTTCGGCTACCTTCGTGTCCAAGATCTTGAACATCGCTCGGCCCTGGAATCATGATTAACCGGACAAACTACGGCAACAATCGACTTTGATGCAATACCCATCGCACAAAATGTCTGACCTCGTCAGACCGGATCCGATCGAGCTGATGCTCTAGAGCTGGTCTCAGGGAGTCCACTATCCTCTGAGCATCCACCGTGAGCCTAAACTTCATCGGCTTCAAGATGCTCTTCGTCCCGTCGGAACTGGGCCGCCCAAACTGAAGCTTGGCAGCCATCTTCGGAAGGCTGCAGAGCTCTTATGATCTTCCAAATATAATGAGAATGCCAAGCCTATTCTACGACAGTCGATGAGTTTGCGCGGTTTGCACCTGGAAAGGCCCTAGCTATAAAGCATGCCACACTATGCAGCTCATTCTCTCTCCTCTCGGACCAAGCTTGCAAATCAGCCGGGAAACTTTTAAAGCTGTGCGACACACCTGCAACTACAATTTGCAACTGAAACCCAGCACAGCAGTGCAAAGCAGTGCAAGGGGGGGCAGACCCGGAGACTTCCTCTTGCCATTGCTGGCCATAAGCCATGGCAACGACGGCATGAAGCCCAAACTTACACTGCCGTATTGACAACCTGCAATGAACATCGAATCCTTGCGCCCGCACACGCCAGCCGTTCTTGAGCCTGCCTTCAGTCATTTATCTCATGAAGCAAAGTATATGCCTGGGCAAAAGTCTATCCCTGGGCACAATAAGCACAAGTGCTTCCCCAGGTAACCCCCGGACCCATTGGGGTAGACGTCCAGGATATTCTGGACGGGTTTGTTAGGAAGTGTAGGGCAGTCGGCGTCGTGAACAATTACTGCGTTCTCGTCGCCGAGCCAGGAGCTGCTCGTGCTGTCGGCATTGAGTCCTATGCCGAGCGCTTCCACAGAGAATGCCAGGAAATGGAAGAAGAGGAAGCAGCTGCCGCAGCAGGACCAGCAGCACCGC